ATTTATTAACAAGTCCGTAGTGTAATGAATATTATGTAGTATTAATATGTAAAACAATATTTTAAGTGAGAATGTCAATGTTTGATCTAAAAAATGTACTACCGTACATTAGTTAGGCATTAATTATCTATTGACTCTTATATACTTACGGCATTATTATCTTATATACTTACAACATTATAAACAAAGATGAATATTCATTAAATATACTATAAAACTCGGAGGGCACATCCGAGACCATATATTTTACGTAACAGTCGAACTTATGTCACACGTGACGGAAGAGAAATTTTATGATAACGCATAGGACTAAAAGGGCGTTCGGTCGCATTATTAGATACTCACTGAACGATTATTCAAACAAACCAGTAACGTGTGGATATATTACGTGGGATTGTGTAACCTAATCATGCATCCGAGTTACTTAAGTCAGCCGTAACAGTATGTACAGGTGTATTTGCTAAATATGGTCAGTTATAATTATGAAGTTCGTTTTGTGAGTGTGGGAGTGAGTTCTACGATGGGTAATACGTACGCTCCGCTTTGAGCTGAATCGCTAACTTTCGCTTATCTCTACAAATATTGATATGTGAGCGCTAATTTTGAAATGTGATTTGTGAAAATTAAGTGCTGAATGAAATCTTTTGTGTAGTGTAAAGAGGTTAAGATTTCTTGATAATTATGATCTTGTAACTTAAGATGACATGTTTTAATTCTCGATTTCATGATTACAAGACGTGTGGAAGTTTAAAAACAAATGTTGATTGGAACGGACTTTATACAAACACTAGCTTTCCGCCAGCGGTTTCGCCCGCGTGGTTTTGTATTATAAATTAAAACCTTTTGAATCACCCTATCTATGAAAGAAAACCGCATCAATATCCGTTGCGTAGTTTTAAAGATTCAAGCATACATATGTATATAGGGAGAGAGAAAGCGACTTGTTTTTATACTATATAGTGATGATATGATATTTTCACACTATATAGGTATATGTATAACCAGCTGTTTTCCCGAAACTTCGCACGCGTTAATTATAACCTATGGTAGCCGCATCTTATGTACATATCTTCCTGTAGATAAAAGAATTTTTAAAAGTAGTTTTTGAACCTATTCGATGCAAACAAACTAACAATCAAAACTTTGCTCTTTATAATAGAAGTATAGATATTTATTATTTTTATGCCAAAAACAAAAAAAAAAATTGACTTCTATTTTTTAATTATTAGATAACACTAAAAATATTTAGATAGTTTTTTATTTATATAGTAGTTTATTTCTTTCATCTATGGGAAGTTAATTAATACGCGTTGGACATAGGATATAATTTATGGAAGGCAAAGTCTCGGGGAAACAGCTAGTTTGATAGAAATTGGTTCACAATTCAAGAAGAAATCGATTAACATACCTACTTTCACAAAAAATATACATACTCCTTGAACATAGAAATTTCACCTTTCGGATTTTGAATGAATTCCAAATACGCAATCTTTTGTTAAAAAACAATGCTGAAATTAGCCATGCCTTTTCATATCAACTAAATATTTGGGTGATATTTGGTGGAAAGCGTATTTTGTCAATACATTTCATTGGAAAACTACTGAATCGAATTCGATAAAATTTAAATGAGACCACCTCGATCCATTAAGCTGTCGAATAAAAATTTTGAAGATCGATCAATAATTGGCGGTGAACATACATAAAAAAATATATATATCGCCGTCGAACATATAACCCCTTCCTTTTGTATCTTGAAGTCAGTTAAGAAGTGTAGAATTTCATGTGGATAACACAACAAAAATGAGTGATGCGAGAACTAGTGCGAAGGGTATGTGGAAATGTATGAAAATCTAGCATGGCGTCTTACTAGTATTTCGAGTATCCGATCAAGTCATGAATAAGTAGAATAGGCTACGCGGGTGGCACTTATATCATTATTGATTACTCATTGTATCTGATTATGATAATACTTGCGGTAGGTATACAACACTATTTACATTTACATACTATTTCATACTAGAAGAGCTTGATGGTGCAGTTTTCAGCTCAATCAGCTTAGAATTTCGTAAGAGCCGGTGTAAAGATTAGTGACTAAAATTTACTATCATGAGTTTTTATATATATTGGAAGGGATGTTATGTCGTTGATCCTTATTGCACCTGCAATCGTTAACTCCCACTAATCTGCAGTGGGCCCGAGCGAGTGGTTTAAGGCCCATTTTCTCTATTTAGATCCATCTACTGCAGTGGGTATATCTAGTCTAGACTGAGCTCTTTTTAAAACTACTCAGTCGCTAGTTGTTTTTAGGAAAGCTAAGTTTTTATTTAAAGGACTTAGTCTGGAGTTCTTTTCGTAAAGAGTGAGCTCTTTTAAAAGAGTCAGTCTCGAGTTCTCTTTAGCAAGACTGGAGTCTATTTTAAGAAGATCAAAAACACAGAGAGGCTTGAGATTTAACTTACTCTTTTTTGACTGGAGTCTTCAAAAAAGACTCGAGTCTCAATATTAGGACTAAAAGACCAGTTCTTTTACAACACTAGGTATATCAATATGATGATACTGATAATGCCAAAGCAAATAAACTTAATTTAATTCACAAGAAGGTTTTAAAGCAGTTTGAAACTAAATTTCCACATGTAGAATACGAGAGAACACATGTTTCTGATGTGTTTTCAAACATGAATTTGCGCGCGTAATTATTATGCATACTCGTACTGACAAATTTCGACGTGGACGAATTACTTGAATTTTAAAGTACGTAAGCTTTTTATAAAACCTTTGGCGACAAACAAAATTCGTTGTACGAATTTAAATTTTTGGATAACGCTTTTGCACTAACAATTGCAGAAAAATATTTAATTATCTTGTATTTTTACCAATACAAATACCTTAAACGAAACTCGTATAAAACAGAGATTTTGTCTTAGCATACATACTCTTTTATAATAAATGAAATTTAATGCGCAAAGTAAAATCAATGGGCAGAGTTATGTTAGCATTAAACCATGATAAGCTTGGAAAGTTATATGATGACTAAGCACAGGTTTTCGTAAGACGTGATTCTATCGACCTTCTACCATATCTGATAGACTATCCTTTGTTCTTCAGACAGAATGGTGACGCGAGGATGACTATTGCATACATATTAGCTGGTACTTGACTCCGGTAACACAGTGTCGACATGACTGTTTGCATAATGCACTATATTGAGAATACGAAGACGTCTTGTGAATATTTTTAACAATCAGCATGCTATTTTGAGCGCTATAATAATATTGAGTTACCATGAATATATATATACGCTACTGTGTGTGTATACACATAAACGTGCAGTAATATTTGTTGAAAACTCAGTTGTGTAGTGTTGTGGTAACTTCGTTGTCTGGTCGTTGGTTTGTTGCAACCCCCAATCCTACGCTTACGCGTTAACTCCAATTATACCTATTGAACATTGAGTAAATAAAATTCGAAGTTGATCGAGGTACTTAAGACCTGCTGGAAATATATCTAGAAAATAAAATATACTTGTATTTATAACGGCAAACTGAGTGTATGTGATCGGATTATGGCAGGTCAACTACTCTTTTCGACGACTTTTATTTATAATAGTTATGCTACTCATGGCGTAATGAGTTATAAGGTCTTAAGCCAGAATATGACTACCGAAATCTTTCCGAATCAATTTGATAGATTTAAAATACCTGCAATGACAAGTATAGATGGCAGTTGTTTTCTTTTCAGTTACAAATGTATTTGATATCGTATCAAAATTATCTTAAATGTGTTTTAGCTTAGATATGATGAGCGACATCCCGACATCGACTCATTACTCATCCGCAGAGCTTTCCCTCCTTTACCGTATAAATGAAGCACTCAATGTGTACTTTAAATCTTTTAACGCAAGACTCAAAATAGAATACGTGTATTCCGCAATTTATCGCGATACTAACGACAATATATCGCGAGCCAGTTGTACTTTATTGCTTCTTATTAAGGTTGCATTTGGTGCGTGTATCAAACCGGATGGCCGGCAAGTTGCCGGATGCAGCACCGTACTGTAGAGTGTTTCTGCACATCTCACATTTGAAGCGGTTCGTGTTCTTGTTGCTTTAACTGTACTGGGCACTTGATACACTTGGGTCATTAGACTATTTCGCTTCATGAATGCGGTGAGCAGGATAGATAAGTACAGTCAACCAATTTGTCAAAAAAACTAAAATTATTTCACTTCCCTTATAAACTCAATATACTTGTTCAAAAACTCATTATAGCGTACCAAAAATGGAGGCTAAAAATGTTTTCCAGGTGTGGGGATAATATACATATATATTTTTATTTTGTGTTTATTTCCAACGAGCATACAGAAGTTTTTATTTATTATACTCTCGATAAGACTTGGTTTATTTTATTTTATAATACAAAGAACATGGAATTCAAGCCCATGTCCTTTCGCAATCCAGGCGACTGCTCTAACCACTGAGCTACCCAGGGCCTAACAGGACTGACGAATCTTTCAAGCACTTGTTACTTTTTCGCTACTACAGAGCGTATTCTCGTCAAAGTTCAGGCATCCACTCAAACAGCTGAAAGCAATATTTTAACAAATAGTCTACTTTTAGATCTACTTTTAGATAGTCTACTTTTTTCTAAAAGTAGACTATCACAGGGCGCTACAATTCATTATAAAGTAAAGTTAAAAGTAGAGTATCACAGGGCGCTACAATCCATTATGAAGTTAAGTTAAAATTAAAGTATCATAGGGCGCTACAATTCATTATAACTTGGTTTCTATTTGCTAACCTCGTTGAATGTATTATGATTCAATCCAATGTCAATAAAAGCGACGTAAGTTTATATAGCTCAGATAAATATTAGTTACTGGGAAGACGTAGGGGTAAAACTGATACTTCAAACATGGCAATAACGTTAAATCATTATCCACCAATCGACCACGGTGGTCTTTTATGGTGATGATTATTCATATTTAATATAATTTGTTACAGACGCAAAGGATGGAGGGAGGAGTCAATGAATCGAGCAGGAAACTGCGAGTCGATCAGGTATATTGTTCGTTTTTTATTTATTCATACTAATATTATTCTTAATGAAAAATACTTAAAAAATCCGTCTCTCCGAGCACAGAGTAGCTCGAGATAATAATTTTTTGGTCACCCATCCCGTGACCGACCTGTGCGAAAGTTGATTAACAACAAATCATCGTAGCCCGCGACGCTTATTCACTAGCCATCGAGCCCGGATTTTTATCAGTGCGATGCGAATGTGCGAATTATCCACTCGATCCTGAGATGATGCATCTTAGGGCTGTGTAATTTCTGTGATTATTGCAAAGTTTATTACATCTTATTTGAAGACAAACATCGGACTATGACTATTGCCATGAAACACATTTGGTTAATAATTTGCATACCCATATCTATATATATAACTCAGAGGTGACTGACTGACATAGTGATCTATCAACGCACAGCCCAAACCATCAGACAAATCGGGCTCGAATTTGGCATGCAGGTAGATGTTAGGACGTAGGCATCCGCTAAGAAATGATTTTGATAAATTCTACCCCCAAGGGGATAAAATATTGGATGAAAGTTTGTATGAAACTTTGTCATTTTAAACCGATCGGGCTGAAACTTTACATGCATAAAGCTACTATGACGTAGACATCCTCTAAGAAAGGATTTGATAAATTCCACCCCTAAGGGATAAAATAGGGGATGGAACTTTATTTCAGATATTTTAGACCATATAATAAATAAATTCGTTAGAAATGCTGCTCAAAGTTACTTTACCACGCGGACGAAGTCGCGGGCAAAAGCTAGTTTTTTAATTATAATTTTCTTATAATGCTTGCCGTGATAATTCCGAAGAGATCTTATTATACAATTTTCGAAAAAGGTTTCTGGACTATTCATAAACAACCTCTTTGATATTCTTAACTATAGTGTGATTGAAATTAATATTATCATTTTTTAAATATTTATGTTAGTATTAATAAATCGCATACTTAACGTCCAATGTTTATATTACCAACAAAAACAAATCAGTTTCTTAATATGTCTAAACATCAATTATGTCTAAACAAACGGCTGCCAAAACACGCGAAACGAATCGATCTGAGTTTAATTAAAAAGAGACAACATGCTCGGACAACATTTGGTTATCATAAATATATGACAGATATGGACGTTACACGAGCAGGTTTGATTGATGATAATGTGGCTCATACAAATTAATGACTGCGTTATTGTAATATGTTGTTTCATAATGATCTTGATTTAAATGTTGATTATAGTCTATGATACAAGTGCTTTGATATGAGCAATGTTAGTGTTGTCTAATATTTATTATTTCTTTATTAATTACTAGCTGTTGTCCCGCGACTTCGCACGCGTAAATTATGTCCTATGTCAACCCCGTATCACAGTGTAAATATAAGTAGACAGTGGTGAAACTGCCTACAAGTGTTCGAAATCGCACGCACACATAAACACGCTCACCGACGAGCCGCCTAAGTGGACCTAACAGGACGCTCAGTAACGCGTATCGCGTTGAGATGAAGAGTCATGTTACACGTTCCGCGATCGTTTTTATTTAAAAAATGAAGGAACGTAGTAAGGTCCCACTCGAAAATGCTTGATAAACATCCAAAAGCAGCCGTTCATGAGCGCGCCACCTAAATGCAGTGCCCACCTACCACCGATCCGAAGAGAGCACGAAACGTTGGACGTTTCGTGCGCTCTTCGGCTATGTGTTCGTCAAAAACTTGTACAAGGTTATGCCGTAGTGTCAAGTTAAAGATCAACATAAAAACAAAGATTTACAAGTTGTGTCAATATTAAAATATTTCTCGTATGTTAAACTATCGTCTTTTGCTGAGATTAATCGATTTTTAACCGACTTCAAAAAAATTCCAAATGGCAACCCTTTGGTTTCAATGGAGCGTAGGTATTTATTTTATCAAATAGGCTTAGTTTCTATACTGTGTCATTCTTATACTGTGCCCGTATGATGTAGCTATCCGTAGATGAATGAATTTATAAATCGGTCCAATAGTTTCGGAGCTTATTCCATGGAAACAAATAAACAATAAAATATTTCCCACTTATAATATTAGTATAGATATGTTGTCATTATTTAAAAAAGTTTCGTAGTTAAAGAAATCGTATCAAATCTGCAGCAAATAAAAAGGAATTTTGAATATGTTCGAAGTACGAAAATAATAGAATGACTTCATTTTTAATTCCAATATGGCGAACCACCCAAGATCGTGAACTGACTAGTTATACTTTCAAGCATTTTTATTATATACATATCAAACGAAATGGTTAATTGAGGAGATAACGATTCAATTGAAAAAAATAATTAAAGTAAAAAGAATTAAAAGAGGCTTTTGTTTTAAATGCACTAGAAATAAGAAAAGAACCTATCCATGTAGCATAAAAGCTTCACGCTATTTTCTAAAAATAAAAAGCTTATTATTTGTAAAAACAATAACTTTGTGGGGGATTTAAAATTCTCTGACTTTCATTCACTTTCAGAATTCTAAATAACGTGAGAATCGTGTCGAGTGTAATAGAAAGATTTTCGCACTCACGAGTATGTTAGATGTTCAGCACCATAAAAGCAACTTAGGTCGATGTCTTCATTAATACGTTAATAGATTTACCGAGTAAGCTTTTATGGCACTATTTAAAAGCCTTCGTATATATTAGAAGCAATTAATGATTATTTATCTTTCTACAAGTTTATTATATTTGCTATAAGTACCAATTGTGCAATGATTGGGAGTTTATAATTAAACTATAATTGGATATTTTATGGTAACGACAGTATGTTGTTATCCATGTATTTTCTATTAACAAGAGAATTTTTAAAAGTTTCTAGCATTCATTTGAAATATATCCACTTCATCTTGAACGGTGATCTGAAATTGGATACGTTTCTTGTTCTAACGACAATGCAATTAAGTGTCGGCCTTAACTCAAGATGGTCGCCTGATAAAATGGCATATTACTAACATATTTTTATAACTTGTATACCTATATAACCCTCAATGTGGATATTTAATAATTTTATTTATTACAGACGAAAACTTAATTAATTCACATAATAAGTTTTTCATAGTGTGTAACTGAGTAAGGTTCAATAAATCTGAAAAGTCTAAGTAGTGTTAGGTTCGTATAACAAAATATAACACAAAAAAAAAAAGAATTTCGCGAATAACCATGTTTTTTTTATAGGTTAGATGCGATAGCGCCTGATAACTAGTCAATAATTAAGGTGGACATCATTATTAAATTAATTTTTATCACTGATGAGTGGAGTTGGTGTACTTGTGCAGCGATTCTCAATGGGGTCACGACCTCATCGTTGGGAACTATTCTTAGAGAAGGAGCAAACAAAAGACTTTCATTTTTGTATTGTTTGTGCTTTATGGCAAAAAATAATAGTTTGTGGTAGGTCTGTAAATTCTTGCTTACTAAGACTGACAGCTGTCATTTCTTTAGTGTTTATTTAACGGCTTTTTGTAATTTGCCTTTTGAAATAAGCTTCTTAATATGATTTATTTTCAAAGAACTCGTATCAAATGAAAATAAACCAAAACTAAAAGTCGAGTAAGGGTATTTCTGTTAAGCTTTATGCAGCCAATAGGTAATGTAGCAGGGCGATATTTAAAATATCTATCTGATGTCTTTTAGAATATGTCCAGGAAGACAAAATCATAATTCATGGTTATATTTTTAATGGTAATATTTAAGAAAAATACCTTTGAATCTACGTGCCTTTAACTCTTACTAAATACATATATGCTATTATGAACAGACTCTATTATCATAAAAACCGATCAAGTGTGATTTGGATGGAGGGTTCCGTATCATTAAATAAAAATTAAACAACATCACATATGTTGCTCAGATTCCAAGATAAGCAGCTAAAGCCCCCGTATTATAGAGTATTGGAGACAACGAGGGTAACATAACACCCGGACCTGAGACAATATAGAAAATTTCATTTTCTACATTGACCCGACCGGGAATCGAACTAGAGACCTCAGAGGTGGCGACACCTTGAAACCGGCGTGCGAACTACTCGCCTACGGAGGTCATCATTATCCATAAAAATGCAAAAATATAAAAATGGCAACCCTGAAATATTTATTTTATTATGTTTTTTAGTATTTGTCGTTATAGCGACAATATATGATTTGTGAAAATTTCAACTAACTTATTATCGCGGTTCATGAGATGATCTGACATCCTGGAGACAGACGGACGGACAGCGGAGTCTTAGTAGTAGGGTCCCATTTTACCATTTGGGTTTGGAACCCTAAAAAGTGCCATTATAATTTACAACTTAATGTTTTTGAAAGTGAACTTCTATAGACATTATTAGTCACCTTTTTGGTGCAATAAGAGTGTTAAAAGCATTCTCAGATATGACTGCTCTTAAGTCGGTCATCATAAACATTTTAACGTGGCCTCGCCCATATCGCGCATCAGGTCAACAATGAAATAGAAACTCGAGTTCACAGGTTTGTCATGAAATTAAAAATGCTAATTTTCTTGTTATAAAACCTTAGTACATTTTATTAAATGGTTCGTACCGCGTTTGGTTTTTACTTTTTAAGGGTTGGTTCATACTTTGAAATAAATTTGATCAAATCTAATGTCAATTAAATCATCTATGGAATCTGTTACGATTTTTTCTTCAAAGTTAATTATGAGTTTCGGTTTCTTTCAACGTTTACATACTTAAATATTTATCATCACCAAACTGTTAATTGCTGTGACAAATGTGTTCTTTATTGATGGAAACGAATCAAATAGGTAAATCGGGCTCCGTGCGGCCTCGTGAGTGTAACGTTTGCAAATGTTATCGGGACACCAAGGTTTACAAAGCACGGAGGAGCTCGAGCTAATAAGTTTTTGGTTACCCATCTTATAACCAAATCTCGTAAAAATTGCTTATGTATCGCATCACAGAGCGAACGTGCTATTCTTTGTATGTCCTGTTGCGTCTGCTGTCGGTAGCACCTACC